TATATGCAAATCATATAAATGATAAAGTGCTTGTATCCAGAACATATGAAAAATACTCCCCACAAATGTTACCATGGCAAAACTGAAAGTGTCCACAATGCTACCAAGCATGCTGTTGACATTGTGCAAACAAACAGGTCAAGGGCAAGTCTCTCCCAATAAGTAAAAAAAAAATGGAAATACTTTTTATAGCAACGAAAATAAATCACATAAATGGAAACTAAAAAAAACCAAAACACTATTTAGTCATGATTTAAACAGGAAATCGTACTGGAAATTTTTAATTTTTTGAAATAGATGTCAATTATAAAATGATATACAAAGGACCCTGGTTGGTGTGGCTGAGCTGGTTGGAGCATTATCACATACACCAAAAGGTTGCAGGTCCAATCCCCAATTGAGGTGCATCATGCAGGAAACAAGTGATCTCTCTCTCTCTCTCTCTCTCTCTCTACCTTTCAGTCCGCAGGCCGACGCTCTATCCACTGAGCCAAACCGGCTTCGGCTACAAGGAGAAAGTTTTAACTTTTGTAACATATGGCAGAAAATAAGAAAGACTAAAAAGTAATAAATAAAGCATTTAACTCAAAGAATTAAAACAGGAAAGGTAAATAGAGCACATAGGAGGAAAAGAGCATAATTTAAGGGTAATAAACACAAAGAAAATATAGGGATCTCAACAAAACCAAAACCTGTATTTTTCAAATTACTAACAAAATAGAAAAACCTCTAAGAAAACTGCTCATGAAAAATAAAAAATGATAAAAAAAGGAAAACCACAAAAGAAAAATTAGAATTAGAAAATATATCTATGAAAAAGTATAACTATGTAAAATAATATATAAGTCTAGATATGGCACATGGATACAGCCACATGTAGTAAAAATATGTAAGATACGACAACTTTCCGTGTAAAGATTGTCTCCGCAGGTAGGAAACAAATACTAGAAGTGGATTGCAGCTGTACGTGTAATGATCATTTCATAAGAGAAATAAGAAAAATATTAGCATTTGTTTCTAATGGTGGGCAAATGGGTATTTGCACCTTGTTCTATGTCTTTGTGTTTGAATTATCTTTAAAAATAAAAAGGTATTGCAGACTAAATTATGAATTCAACTTCTGAAGACTGTACCCAGAGAATCATTTTAAAGCTATTTCTAATATGACACAGCAATGCAAATTGAAATATTACATGTGTGATAAGGCCCAAAAATCTGTATTTTAATAAATACTCTGGTGTTTCTCCTGTGATGTGACAGAGATCATTGAGAACTTCTATGGTATTTGAAAATAAATAGATATAGATATATTAAATTCTTCCTCTCTCAAATACCAAGGCAATGACTTTGGATAGTTACTTAAAATACACTCCCACATTTTGTATCTCTAAAATGCGACTATTCAAAATTATCGCACATTTAAATGATATACTGATGTCGCACTAAAAGTCCTTATAAAATGTGTTGTTGCTGCTCACAACAATGCCTTGCATTTGACTAGGTTCAAGTGGTATAAAGTTTAACTTCAGAACACAAATTTACTTGCTACTTCTGGATTCTTTCTCCTTGCT